TGAAAGGGATACATCTTCGACGCAGCTCTGAGGAAAAACACTCATAACATCTTTAAATAACGGTGCCCATTGACAGTTACTGTTCACCCTTTTCTTCAAAGAAGTATGGCCCGACAATGACTGGTTCTGGGTGAAGTTCCGTCTCGTGAATTATTTCTGGATTTGATTCACTGCATGTACGGAAATTTTGCTTCCTCATATCACACTTTGACACTTTGGTTGATGGCTAAGTGTTTCAGCACACATCGCCTAATGTCAATTAGAATGCCGCTAAGTAAACCCACTTTTGCTTAGTAATTTATCTCACCCTCTACTCGTATATATGGTATCCTATGGATATTATATGGTAAATTTGTCCTCTCTCTACTTTTCATGAATATTTGCTGTTGTTCTTAATGCAAAAGCCTATAAGGTGATAATGAAAATCACATAATTTCATATAAGTCTGTAGGCTCAGATATACATACATACAAGTATGTATTTCAAGTGTAGGTACATAGTCGTATGTGTTCCTGAAGTGTTGTTTACACACGTAGACATTAACAATAAATATAATATATTTTTGAAGAGATTTACTTCGGCAATATATTTCAGTAATTGATGCGGACATAATCAATGACTCTCTTTTGTGTTCTGATTGTCTTTAGTATGCCATTAATTAGCTGTCGTTTTACTCGTTAAATAAATTACAATGCAATCACATTTACATAATTTTAGTCGCAAACTTATGCTGGTATATAGTACACAGGTATTCAAGTCAAGGCCCGTTTATTGAGGTAAACTGCTAACAAGCTTCTCGTTAAATAAAAAATTTGTAAGAATAACAACATCGAAGTTCAAAAGTTGTTATATACGAACGTTATTACTTTGAAGTTGAGACTTGGCTCGGCCCATTCAGGCCTTTCATTTTTTCTAGGTAGTGCTAAGGAAATACTGTTGTTGTTCCTTGAATATTCACCCTTACTAATATAATATAATTTCATACCATTGACCATAAATTCAATCACAGAATCCAAAATCATTGTATCGTGTATTTGGAGAATAAATCTCTTAAACGGTATTGAAAAAATTTAAAAAAAAAATGTTTATTAGTTAAGTATGTTGTACGGTTTACAGAAAGGTGGGAAGTCGTAAATCACTGTATCGGAAAAATTAAAGTCGGTGAGTAAAGTCAACTAGATGTTCAAAAATCCTGAAATTTGATAGTTATATGGGGTCTAGGGCAATCACCCGATTTTATCCATTTTAAGCACAAAGATTTATAACATGCTTCCTAATTTTATTAAGATAACTCACTTATTCGCCGATATATGCGGTATAAAGTCAATCGGAAATTCGAAAATATTTTCATAGATATATTGGGCTAAAAGAAATATGGATCCGGTTCAACCCGCTTTTGATATACAGACGGTATAATATCAGAAAAGATCTCTTCGAATTTCTATAATATATCTCCCACATTTACCGATATATTATGATGACTGAGGTCCACATATTCGGTATGTGGGGGCTTAAAAAGTTTAAATTCGATTTGAATAATTTCTGGTCATAAAGTGACATACCTCAAAGGTACTATTCGTAGAAAGTTTTATCTAGACACATTTATGTGTGCTTGATTTGTACACTGGAAAATGAAAAAATCAAATGCAATTTAAAACTGTATCAGAAGCAAAAAATAAATTATAGTTTGAAAAACTAAAAAAACACGCTTAAAGAATTTGTAAACCTCCTCCTATAAAGCTCTCCCCTACCATCTTATTTTTGAAAATTAATGTTTATGGACCATTTATTTCGTTAGTTATCGCACTTTTAGTATTTTTTAGCATAACTGTTATATGGGTAGTGGGCGTGGTTATTATCTGATTTAGCTCTCAGCGTATGAAAAAGGGCAAAAAGGACATCCTCTCAGCAAATTTGGTTGAGTTAGTTTTGGTGGTTTGGAAGATATATACATTAAACCATTTAGGGGCGGGGTTACGCCCAGTTTTAAAATATTGAAAAACTATGATTAAATTATTGCATTGTCATCGGTCCTTGACACGTCTTCCAAGTTTCAAGTTGATCAGACTTCTGGAAACAGGGTGAAAATAGAGCTCTAAGATTCCATTACATACATACAACCCAAGCTAATGAAAGCGTATTAAAAAGCGTCGTTTTTTCTGATTTGGCCCATTTTCACGCTGTAACGTAGGTGTAAAAATTATGAGGTTTAGCGATGAATATGAATAAAATTGATTTAGACTTAGTCGTATTCTGAATTCAATTATTTTCGATCTTCTGTTTGACGTTTTGCACATCACTCAATATTGGATATACCATAGTTCAGAGCCGAAAATATAAGAAATTATGGTATATTATATTATGTTACATATAATAATTTCCTTTAATCTAATAAACCTTATTATATAATATTATGTTATTGGTTTAAAGCTGAATATTAATGAAGTTGGTCAGACCTTGTATTTATCTTATATCAATAATATCAATTTCGAACTTCTAATTGACGTTTTGAACATAAACTCAATATGTAATATTAAATTTAGCCCCTTTGCTAAACTTTATGTCAGATATTATATATCTTTTACTCGAACTTAATAAAATACTAAATTTAATTGTAATTTATTCATGATTTCATCGAATAATGGATGTTTAATTCTTTCGCAACATTTATATACTCTCGCAACCTGTTGCTACAGAGTACCTATATAAAAAAAATGTTTACCATTCGAGTTGCTTCCTTATTATGTGCGGTTTTTAATATCCCAATTTTCAATTTATGGCTGTCAAACAAATTAATGCGGTTGTATTTTCATTTTTATAGCACTGACAACTTTGCGTATCAAACTGACGGCGCACTGAACATCAATTGAAATTGACAGCAAATTTTCTCATGAAACTTTTTACTCTATACAGTGATACACATTTAATCCAATTGTACTATTGCTAAATTGGCGTCACTGAAGCCATGAAAATAGTCCCCATTAATAATATAAATGTGAATGTAATTGGTTTTGTTACGCTCTTATGCTGATCAAGAACTTTGTTCACATGTTTCTATCCTCTTATTAGAAAGTGCATAGGATACTTTGCAAACAAAAAATGCATCGAAAGGGTAAATCAGACGAAATTAGGTTTTTCGGGTTACAACCGCCACCACGAAGATAATCATCGTGGTATAGTATAAGAGCTAGGTATTTCTTAATACATATAAACATACAGTAAATATGTGTATGGTATATATTTCAGCCATCCTTTGGAATTTTTGGTCTAAATATTAGGTTTTATATAATCAATGTGTGATCCAAATATGATCTCAGACAAACCATAGTCTCCTCTTACTATATGTACGAGTAGCATTATGAAGTCAAAGAATAAATGTGCTAAAAAAATGTGTTAAACGCTATTACAGCTCTCCGTACCCTAGTATGTTTACTAAAGAACACTGTTTTCTTGTGTTCAAACAGACAAGCTGCAGTTCAAATAAAATTGATGACTGGGACTCGCATCAAGGAATTTAGTAGTTTCCTTCAATGTTTGCTATTGTATCTTTCGTTGCCGATGGGTTTCAACTTACTATTGTATAATTATACTCTCGCAACCTGTTGCTACAGAGTATAATAGTTTTGTTCACCTCACGGTTGTTTGTATCACCTAAAACAAATCGAGTTAGATATAGGGTTATATATATATAAATGATCAGGATGAAGAGACGAGTTGAAATCCGGGTGACTGTCTGTCTGCCCGTCTGTCCGTCCGCCCGTCTGTGCCAGCTGTAACTTGAGATATCTTTATGAAACTTGCTACACATGTTTCTTGATACTGTAACACGGTTGGTATTGAAGATGGGCGTAATCGGACCACTGCCACGCCCACAAAACGTCATTAATCAAAACAAATAAATTACCATAACTAAGCTCCGCAATAAGATACAAGACTCTTATTTGGTATAGAGGATCACATTAAGGAGGGGCATCTGCAGCTAAAATTTTTGTTTTAAAGTTGGCGTGGTCCCGCCCCCTAATAAGTTTAATGTGCATATCTCCTAAACCGCTAAAGCTATTATAACAAAATTCACTGGGAAAAAATGTTTTTAGCACCTCTATCGGTGTGAAAATGGGGGAAATCGGGTGACAACCCCGCCCTCTCCCCATATAACGGTACTGCTAAAAACTATTAAAAGCGCGGTAAATCAAGTACTAAACACGCCAGAGACATTAAATTTTTATCTCTGGGATGGTATGAGATGACTTTATAGGAACCACGTTCAAAATTAGTCAGTGGGCGTGGTACCGCCCACTTTTAGGTTTTACGTTTAAAGTATGCCACTTTGTGACCAAAAATCGTCTAAATCGAACCTAAACTATTCAAGCCCCTAGGTACTGAATATGTGGATCCCAGTGCCTATAGCTGACTTTTTACCGAAAATATCGGTCAACATAGAACAAGGCGGCAATATTCACAAAGAAATCTAAAACGAGTATACCATTTGACTTTGCGAGAGTATAAAATGTTCGGTCACATCCGAACTTAGCCCTTCCTTACTTGTTTGCATATACGATTATACAAATTTTCAAATATTCTTCACATAACAAGAAAATACTGTGTAAAGTGAAAATTTAACTATTGCCAAATATTTTTGAGTGTCGCATAGTCACAGAGTAGTCAATTTTGCGAAACTAATATGAAATAAAACATTAAAAATTATCCTGAAGCAAATATCTTTTTTGTTCGAACAAAGCCTCAGGCGTATCCTTGGGCATGTCGTAAGTACGCTTTCTCATGCACACACATACTTCACAAATTGTAATATGTGTGAATGGGACTCACAAACCGTTTTCATTCATAAATTCCGAACACTGGTTTATACAGGAATTTCAATGTGTATGTAGTTTGAAGGTTTACCACGGAATTCACCTTTGCGCTCTGTTAGCGATAACAGCGTGAGAGTACCCAGAGAGAGCTGCAATGCAAAATATTGTTATAATAAGTTTCGTCTGTCCTGTTGCTCCTGCAGGTTTTCCACACTAAATATTATGAAGCATTCCACTCTCGGCCGTTGTGGTGAAAGCAACGTGGAACTCGGAAGACACGCACAACTTAGAAAGTTGACGACAAATTAAAATACGGTTCTGTGCCCTAATGCTTAGTTTTATTATCCGCGGAAGTGAGAGAACAAAACAAAATTGATAAAAGTTAATAATTAAAGTGAGAAAAAAGCCAAAATTGAAGAGTCAAGAAATAGTAAGAATAAGAGCAAACGTGTGATATAAAATAAAAGCAGTGTGTGTATACTGAGTAAGTCATGTGTATAAGTATAAGAATGGATTTTTAAGTTGCCGCGCTTCCGTCTTAACAACTGTTGTCGTCGTTAGTGTGTATGCGCTTACTATAACGGAAAAGTGTGATAAGCTTTTATACATATACATATGAATATATATGTGTGAACGAGTTTCATCGAAATCAAATGTCGAGTATGAGTGAGTAGCGAGCAGTGATGTGTGCAACAGAAAGGTGCTGCGGCTGCCACTGCTGAAGTGTGAATACGACTTTGATAAGTGGCAAAACGACGAAATTAAGAAAATAGTGGAAATAAGTGTCAGGCGCAGAAAATCGACGTGTGGGTCTGTATTGTGTGCTATGTTGACACTAGCCCCACCATTGTGCTACCAAAACCTATAGATTATTACCTCTAATTGAAAAGTGGAAAAATTTCCCAAAATGCATAATAATTGAAATAATGGCTTATATGGTACATACTAAAGAAGAATATTAGGAATATACAACTATTTCATACGAGGAACTCCTAAGTTGATTGAGCTTAGAAAAATGCAAAAATAAACATTCCAGTGTTAGATGCGACACCGCCCACATTTACGTGAATTCCTATATCTAGGAACTACTTGACCGACTTCAACTAAATTCGGTGTGTTAAGTCACCTGAATATTTCAGGACCCCAATACATGTGATTTTTTTACCTAACGTATCGCTCAATCTCTGAGGTCTTGTATTGAAACTCGGGGAGTATAGTTTTGTGATGACAGCATACCCGCTACCAAAAATGGATACAGTCAAGTCAAAACTTTGCTTAGCCCCATATACCTTACATAACTATTTTTGAACTTCTTGTAGTTTTTATACCGCATCTATCTGTCCATATACAAGAAATCTTACTGTAATTCAGAAAAAAATTCTTTATAATAACAGTGTACAAAGTGGATGAATTCAGAGCAATACTTTCCCTAGTCTTCTATATACCTATCGGGTTTTCAAATGAAATTCAGGGAGCTTTTACTTCTGCTAATGATTTGTCTTTAAACCAAAACTGTATAAAATCGGGTCAAAATATTCCTAATAATTTTTACGAGTGTAAGAAAGTTGATAAGATTTATTTTAGAATTTCAAACTTTCGAAACGGGCTCCCCGGAGGGGTTACTTGAGTTTTGGAAACAAAAAAAGTCGCATGGGCCAAATCCGCTTTGAAATCGTTAAATAAGACCTGAAAGTTTCCGGAAATAGTGTTTTTCGTTATTTGCAGTTTGGTTCATTATGAATTCGTTCCAACGGGACAGACGGTCAATAAAGAGTATTATTTGAGAGTTTTGAGGCGTTTGAGGCGTTTGCGCGAAAACATCTGTCGTAAACGGCCGGAAATGTGGACCAACAATTTCGGGAAACTTTCGGGTCTTAATGCCTCAATTGAGTCAACGTGTGGGATATCTCAGCAAAATTAAAAAAAGTTCCCTTAAACTGACTATACTGTTTTTCATTAATTACTAGTCCAGAATAAAATTGGGTTTCCCCATCCTTTGGTTGATGTTTTCCTCATATACCCCATATATTAAATTTCGCTCCTTTTATTGAGTTTATATCACATATATCTCATTTTAGTTAATTATGTTGAACTTAATATTAATATTTCGGGCAAGCAAAATTTAGTAATGGAACTAATTGAATCTACGACTTATAATATACATAAGTTTATAAGATACAAAATTTTAGTGTAATCCATTTGGTTTCAACTGCTAGACATTTTTTTAGGATTGGGTTTACCAGAATATTGGTAAATATTCAAGGTTGAGGAAACATGTTAGTTGTATAATATTGTAATACCTGTTCATTGTAGCAAAAAATCAATGTGCTTTAAAAAATCATATTTACAATAAAGTTTCAGTTACAAAATTGCAAATTAGTGTAAGCTCTAAAAATAAACGCTTACGAAAGTCGGAAAATAACATTGTTGCACAATGGGTCCCATGTAAATAAATAAGTATGCAAATATGGTATACTTTTGTTGTTTGTTTGTTTCCGGTGGCCAAACTTTTAATGAAAAACATTTAAATTATAATTTTGACGATTAGTCGAAAGTATGGTATACATATGAGTGGAATTAAATTAGCGTCCAGCTTGTTGCTTAGGAGAGCAAATTTTCTGTCATGATTACCTGCAATCAAAATATGGGTATATAAGGGACACTTGAGCATGGTTGGGATAACTAAGTAGCGGTAACTAATTAATATTGCTTATCCGCACAAGCTGCTTTTAATTAGTGTTGTAGCCCGTGCGAGAGAATTGCACAAAGGAGCAAGACTTAGCAATGAAATAATTGTAATTTGTCCTGTATTTTAATGTGTCCTTATAAAACAAACGGCGCGCATATTTTAGAAGTGTCCGGAGGAACTGGAGAAGAATCATTCATTCTGGATTTTTAAATTTGAAAGAGCACTTCATATGTTCTACTTACGATTAACACAGTAATAACAAATTGACAAAAATAGTGATTTATTCTATGTATAATCGGTTTTACACCTTTACACCCTTTCTTCGAAACGTTTATGGATTTCATGAGAAGCTTTCTTATACAAAATATATGAACCGAGTGTTAATATTGACTGGATTTATAGATTAACTAAAGGTATGACCCATCTCAATGGTAGTATACAGTTTTATTTACAATATAGAATATAGCTAAATGAGGACAATTAAAAATTGTGACTAAAAAATGATTTGAGTAGCTCCATGTAAGGCTGTTCACTTTTTCTTAGCTTCGTTTACTATAACACTCTTCACAAATAAAAATGTTCCCATACAAGAACATGAATATGAAACCTTTTTCTCCTAGTGGTAGTCTGATCTGGTGGGAGGTTATAGCATTGCCTCTAACAATAAACCATGCCAAAATTCTTGAAGATATGTCGTCAAATGAAAAAGTTTTCCATGCAAGCACTTAATTCTGATCGTTTACTTGTATGGCAACTATATTCCATACTGACCCGATATCGGTAGTCCTGACAAACCAGCAGCATCTTAAGGAGAAAAGGACCTTTACAAAATTTCGATGTCTCTTCGATGAACTTACGGGCAAGTTCCCGACAGACGGATAAGGCTAAATCAACCCAGCTCGTCACGACGTTCATTTATATGATTCTTACGATTATTAAATATGGTATATAATTTTATAGGGTCTCCGAAGTTTTCTTCTGGTTGTTACAAACGTGGTGGCAAACTTAATATACCCTATACAGGGTATAAAAATAGACAGACTCACCCCAGAATATTTCAAAGCATATTTCCAAATTAATATCTGAAATTTATACATTTTAAAAACTGAAACAATTTTCATACACAAAGTTGGCGGGACTAGTGGTATATCGCAAAATGTCAATTTCCTCCATTTTTGATTTAAAATTATGATATTGGAACCTTAGTATTTAGAAAAATTTGAAGTAGTAGCACGTTGAAATTGCTATCAGGAGCTATGAAAGAGGGAACGTTTGTATAACCTTATGACCAAATGGTCGGCAGTGTAGTAAGTATGTATGTACACATGTAGCTACAACATGTATGGAAATTCCGAAAATTACTTACTTATGTATATGCGTATAAGGCATTTACAGTCGAATCATTGTTTATTTCCTTGTCCTACTTTATATATGGGAACACATAAGTAAGTGGGAGGTAGGAGGTGTGTTAGTATTATGTTTGCTCTAACGTTTGGCAAGTATTTCCACAATCTTTAGAATTTTTTATTTTGAAGAAATTGTTAAAATTCTGATGGGTGGCCTCATCATGTACCAAGTCACTACGTCGTGCCACACAACGGTGTATGAAAGTACTACTCTTACAAGGCATATACGTTAACCGCTAAAATGTCATTTCTTCGCATAAGAAATTTGCACAAGTTGAGGAAACGTGTCAACTGAAGTGTCGACATTTCGAAAAAGGCAATTTATTAAAATAAATACTCGTGGAGAACAGCTAGTACGAAATTTTAGCATGTTCTTGAATGTTTTAGTGTTATTATCCTACAGCTAAGGTTTAAAGCCAAGATATGTTCTTTTCACGAAATAAATTTCGTTTTTATGTACCAAATTTATAAGTATAATTATCACTCGTAAAAAATATTAGGCCAAGTAAAAAGTTCGTTCGGTTTTTTATTGATTTTTTAAAAGATGATAACTTTGTGTACATTTGTCCGATTTAAGTCAAATATACGCCGTTTCGTTCGCAAACTTAGTGCCAACGAGATGCCAACTTCATTATACCCCTCTCGTAGAAGACTGCGTCCCTATTGCCAAAAAACTCGGAGAGCCAATTTTCACAGGCCTCTCTTGAGGCCAACTTCTCACCATTAAGCGCGTTTGCCATGGACAGGAAAAGATGGTAATTGGACTTGGTGCCAGGTGCGGACTATAATGGTGAATTAGGACCTCCCATCCGAGCTCTCGGACTTCTGTGTGTGTGTGGCCTGCCGTTGCCCTAATGGAACACAATTCGGCCTCTGTTGATCAAAGATGACCTCTTCTGGACGAGTGCTGCCTTCAAGCGGTCCAGTTGTTGGCAGTAGAGGGCCGAATTGAGCGTTTAGCCATAGGGGAGCAGCTCGCAGTAGATGATTCCTTGCCAATCCCACCAAACACACAGCAAAACCTTCCTGGCCGTCAATCCGGTCTTGGCCACCGTCTGTCTGTGCGTCGTAATTGTAACTAAGGAAATGCGGTCCATCATGTTTTTTTTCGTGTGGCACCCAAACATCGAGCTCCTTTTTGAATCCAAGGTTATGCAAATGATTCCAAACGGTTTTCTGGCTTATCCTTAGTTCCTCAGCAATTAAATAAGTGCTCACGTGACGGTTTCCACTATTTCCATGATTTTATCGCAATTTTCGACGACAGGCCTCCCGACGCGTGGTGCATCTTTGACATCGAAATTACCGGAACGGAACCTAGCAAATCACTTTTGTGCTACACGTTCGTTTACAGAATCGGGCCCATAAACTAAATTAATTTTTTAGCCGCTTTAGCTGCTTTTTCGCCTTGATCGAAGAAAAATGTAAAATATAGTGAATTTTCTCTTTGTTGGTGTCCATCTTTGCGGAGCGCTCACAACGTACTGAGTCAATTAATCAAAAAACGGTCAAAGACAAACTTTTAGCGCGAATAAACACGTTTTTAGCGCCGTATAGTATGACATGATGCGACACGTAACACTATTACTGTGGACAATAACGCCACCTCTTAGGTCTTACCAGAACCGTTTTATTTTATTTAAATTATATTTTAATTATATAGTTTAATTCAATGTAAATAAGCCAGCAAAATACCTAATATACAAGGGTTTTTA